TCCTCTCCTTAGGAATCATGAATGTTCCTGTTCTTCCGCTCGCAAGGTACCGCAGCAGCAGCGAGGGTCAGCAAGGGGCGCGAGCTACCGCACGACCACCAGACGTTACATGTTGTGGGCTGCTTCAGGCAAGTCGGCGTGCGGGGAAGAGCACCCAGCTTAGCAAGCACGGGCCACCACACAGGTGGCCACCACCTCCCCAGCACTTGTAAATCCACAGTTTCGGAAGTCGAACTTCCATTCGGGACGGGTAACAGCTCTTCAGAGCGGAGGTCGGACCTACATGTCGTGAAAGTGTCCGATGATCTGGATCCTCAGGGAAACGTACCCCCGTGGACCCCACAAAGCCGCCCATGACGCCCCAAAACGCCACCAGAAGCGAGCGCCCTGGATATCCTCGCTCCTCGATCCCCCCGAGAGAACCGAGGGGGTCGGGCCGTCGATCATCGGGCGCGGACACCCGGCGGCGCCCGTCCCGGCACTCCTACACACATGCAACGGCATGTGCTAGATGGCCAGAGCGATCGAGCCACCTCCTCGACTCCTCACAACGTAAAACAGCGATGACATGCCTGCGGGCGCCTGAACAAAAAACGCTGGGGAGGTGCCTGCGAGCAGCCCAAGGAAGGCACTTCGGAAATACCTGCGGGCAGCCCAAGAAAGGCACCTGGGAGGTGCCTGCGGGCAGCCCAGGAAAGGCACTTGGGAGGTGCCTGCGGGCAGCTCAGGAAAGGCACTTCCGAGGTGCCTGCGGGCGCCTGGGGAAGGCACTCGTGCGGTGCCTGCTGGCGGCCCAGGTAAGGCACTTGGGAGGTGTCTGCGGCCAGCCCAAGAAAGGCCTCCCCCCCCAGAAAAAATAAGCTCTCACGCCATCGTGCACGAGCCGCGAACCCACTCCTGGACCAGCTCTGCGTGGGCCCGAGCACGGCAGCCTGGGACGCCTCGCCGCTGCCCCGCGCTTCTCTTCTGCTGCCGCCGCCTGCCGCGGGCGGGCCCCGCCTGCCTCCGCCGGGCCTGCCCCGCCGGCCCTGCCGCCGTCCGCCGCCGAGTGCGGGAGAAGAGGCGCGCGTTTCCGCAGGCTCCTCCCTTCTCCTCCTCCTCCTCCTCCTCCTCCTCCTCCTCCTCCGCCTTCTCCCTCCTCCTCCTCATCCTCCTCCTCCTCCTCCTCCTCCTCCTCCTCCTCCTCCAGGAGGGTGAGCGGCGGGGGGCCTTCCCCCCCCCCCGGCGGGGAAGTCGCGGGGTCGTCGTCGAGCGATGGAGATGGCGGTCCGCCGTCCTCAGCTGACATGCGCCTCTCAACACTCGAGCGCAATACTGCAACGGAATTGGCATGCGTCAACTAACATGCGTCCTGAACTGACATGGCTCGCAAGGAGGGGGAAGGGGGGGGGGCATGGCGAGGCCCGAAAGGGACCCTGGGCTTCCTGCAAGTCGGGGCCCGCTCGCAGGCCGTCTCTCGGCCACGTGTCCGCTGGAAAGGCGGCGGGAGGGGGGCCTCGGGAAAGGGAAATGCCATGCAGGTAGACCTTAGGCGCTCGTTCTGGGGACCTCCCTGGGGCCACTCGCTCCACTCGTGCGTCGATGCTGCGTCGGGATGCGTCGAGCGTCTGTCGAACCTGAGTCGGGGAGAGGGGAGGATGGGGAGGTCCTCCTCTTCCTCCTCCTCCTCCTCCTCCTCCTCCTCCTCCTCCTCCTCCTCCTCCTCCTGCTCCTCCTCCTCCCTCTCCCACTCTCCCCCGCACTGTTGCAGTGGTGGTAGACAGCCGGCCCATCAGACGCGGCCCGCGGCGCGAGAAGCGGGGCGGGGAGGAGCTCACCGGAGGGGGCCCACACAGCAGGGGCTCGCGGCGGAGGCCGGCGGGGCGAGGTGAGCGCAGGAGCCCTGCGCGGTCCGCCAGGGAGCCCGCCCGTGCCCATTCTTGGTGGCGAGCGCGGGGGGGGAGTGAGAAGGGGCGGGCTTTCTCAGAAGGCTCGGAAGTCCCACGGCCATCTGAGAATTCTTCTAAGCCTTCCCCGAAAACGCAGAAGACTTCTCAGAAGGCGGCCGCCTTCCCAGAAGGCCTTCTCTTTCCCCTTTTCCCTTCCTCGCCCGCCGCCGACATTTCCAGGGCGTGGCGTGGACGCCGCAGCCTCGGCTGCCCTCCTGTGCCGCGTTCCCCCCCCCCCCCCCTGAGATCCTGGCGTCGCAATGTTTCCCGCAACGGGCGTTTTCGCCCGGCTTCGGGCCCAGGACCCTCACAGATCGATCGGGCTCGAAAAATGCTGCCAGCGCGCTTACTCCCGATGGCTTGCGCCCCCTTGACTGGAGCCCCATGGCCGGTGCCCTGCGGCACGCTGTGGCTGGTGCCCCCCGCAGTGCCCCATGTTTGGCGCCGCACGGTGGCAAGAATATGTGTATATTTGTAGAAAATATGCATACAAGACTGCAGCGGCGCTTCGCGCCATGCACCTTGGTCCTCCGAGTTTCGCACGCGGGCGGTGTACGTGCGCGTGCACATGCGTGCGCGGGTATGTGCATACATGTCATACGCGCGCACGCGCAAGCACGCCATACATATATATATAGAGAGAGAGAGAGATCGACATGTGTGCGTATACATATATGTATACATACGCGTTTACGTATACTGGTGTACTACACATATGTTGGTTTATGTGTTTGTTTAGTTATTGATTTGTTTAGTTGTTTATATGTTTACGTATGTACTTATGTATTTATCCATTTATGTATGCACATAAATAAATGTTTAGACCCATACTTGCGCATACATATGTTTAATGTGTACTTGGGCAGTTCTACGTGTACACATGTACACGTCTATACTTACATGTACGCGGTCGTGGCCACAAAGGGGGGGCCAGAAACGCAGCGAAAAGCTCGCGAATGCCGAAAGACTTGGGTAGGAGACGGCATGGACAACACGGCAGAATGTGGAACGAGGACCTGGGCTTACCAATCACCGTGTCTTTGGGACTATGGAAGGAGCTGTGTGAGGCCCTTGGGGGGCCTCGTGTCGCAGCGGGGCTCGACGCTGAAGTTGTATTGCGCCGCCGCACGCTCTTGCGAGGCCTCGCGTTCAGAAGGCTAACGTCACGTGTGCAATATTGGAGCCTCCCAGAGCCTTCTGCGGGCCTCTGTGGGACGTGGTGCAGTCCCGTTATGGCTTGGGCCCGTCTTCGTATTGGCTCTTTTGGGCTGTCTTGGAGTCATCATATTCGTGCTCCTGGCCCGTTTTGGGCCTACCTTAGGTGCCTGTTCGGGCGTGTTCGAACTTCTATCTGTCAGGCCGTCTTAGGGCGATCTTGGGGACCTCGTCGGCCGTCTTGGAGCGTCGGGAAGCCGAAAAGGGGAGAACTCAAACATCCCCCACAAACCAACGGAAATGACTGAGATTTGCCTTGCAGGGCCCTCTTGGGGGTGCTCTTCGAGGCCTCTTGGGGTGTTTTTGAGCGATCTCGAACTTCTGTGGGGTCCTTACGGGATCTTTTGGAACTCTGGGGGACCTCTTGGGGCTTCCTGTAGGCCTCTTGGGGGCCTCTTGGGGCATCTTCGGGGCCTCTTGGGAGCTTCCTGGGGCATCCTGGGGCCCTGTCGGGACTGTTTCGGGGCTCTCTTGGCCCTGTTTGGGGCACTCCTGGAGGTTTGTCGGGCCATCTGAAATCGATCTTGGGGGCCTCGTGGGCTGTCTTGGAGCGTCCGGAAGCCGAAAAGGGAGAACTCAAACATCCCCCACAAACCAACAGAAAATTACTGAATTTTGCCTCGTTGGGCCCTTTTGAGAGTGCTCTTGGAAGCCTCTTGGGACGTTTAAAGCGATGTCGAACTTCTGTGGGGTCCTTGCGGGATCTTTTGGGACTCTTGGGGACCTCTTGGGGTTTCATGGGGGTCTCTTGGAGGCCTCTTGGGGCCTCTTCGGGGCCTCTTGGGAGCCTCCTGTGGCCTCCTGGGCTTTCAGGGGCTTCCGAAGCCCCTGCTGGGCCTAAGCAACGGGCCCAAAGCCGTCAAGAGGGCGGCCAGACGGCCCCGCGAGAGCCCACAGAGGCCCCAGACACCCACCAGACGCCCCAAGACGGCCGATGGAAGACCTCCTAAGAGGCATTCGAGACGCAATAGGCATTGATTTCCAATGGTTGTTGTATGATGTCAGGAATGCTAATTTCTACAGTTTTCCGGGCGTCCGGGACCGCGAAGGAGGCCAGAGACCAAGAAAGCTTCGAGGCAGTCCAAGAGGAGCCCCAAGACGGCCCAACAGGGCCCCAAGATGGCCCGAAGAGAGCCCCATGACGGCGCAAGATGGCCGCAAGACGCCTCCCGAATCATTCCAAATCTTGGCCGTTGTCGTCCAGGAAGACCGCAGTTGGACGCAGGGTGGCCCGGGGAAGCCCCCAGAGGCCCCCAAAAGGAACCCAGGAGGCTTCCAGAAGGCCCTAGCAAGCCCTTACAACCCTTCGTGAGGCTTACGAGAGGCTCTCCTGGGATGAGCCTCCGCAAGAAGAGCTCAGGATGGGGAAGAATTAACAAGGTTGGGCGAGAATGAGGAAGAGGAAGAGGAAACATGAGGTAAGGATAACACACAACATGGTTACAACGACGATGCCAGAAAAGATAACATTGAGTTTTCGCTAAGTATTATGCTTCACTGTATTATCCCCCTGTCTGCATGCCAAACCCTAAGTACCATTTTGCATGGCGCGAAGCGCCAATGCTGTTTTATGTTTACCTGCATGTGTATACACATACACATATAAATGGTCGGTGTCAGATGGCTGGTGCCCTACAGTCTGCGCCCTGGGGTTTGTGCCCCACGCTGGGTGACCTCTGGTGACTGGTACCCAAGGGCTGGTGCCCTCTTGCTGGTGCCCCTGTGGTCCCTCTCGGTTCGCCCCCCGCCCGCCAGCACCCACACGGCCTGGACGCCGGGAAAATTCGGGAACCTCCTGCGGGGGGCCCACGCGCTGGCACCCTGGCACATTGCCCTCCATGCTCCTTTTTCTACCGCTCAGGCGAGCGTGCACTGGCACTCCCGCTGCGTCCTGAGAGCCTCGCCGCTGCCGCCAACCGCCGCCGCCGCCGGGCCAGGCGCGCAGCCGGCGGCGTGGAGCGCCGCCGCGAGGTCCATCTTGGCACGGCCCGCGCCGTAGAGCCTGACCGGCCTCGGGCACATCCCTGTCCCTGAGATGGACGAGCACATTGCAGCTTTGCAGTTTTGGGGATGTGGCAGATGTGCCCTCGGTAGCTGTGGGGATCCTGAAGATCGGCACTGAAATAAGGTTGTGTCAATCATGGGGATAGGGACATGCTTCAGGCTGGTAAGGTTGGCATGCCCGATGTGAATACGAAGAAAACGTTTACGATTCCCAACAGTAGACGTTTCCAAACACGGTCAAAAAACGGCGGCAGCTGCCGCAGTTAGGCAGGCGACACATGCCCAAAATGGACAACCACCGCGGCGACACCGACGGCGAGTCCTGCTGAAAGTGAGCAGCAACTAATGTGGGTTTTCGTCCCCACCCTGTCCGACCCCATCTAGAGGAAGAAAACAACTCACGCGCATCAACTTTATAAGCTCCCCGCGGAGTTCTTGGGTCGGCGCTGGACCCCACTGGCGGCGCCTCCGGTGCAGCCCATGGCGCGCTTCGCGGTTGGGAGGGGGTTCCAGCGCCGAGACAAAATCTGCGCGGGCCCACATGTTTATCTATCATTATTGTAGTTGTCATTATTGTGATTGTCATTCTTAATACTCCTATCATTAATATTAATCTTTTCACTCTTCTGATTATAGTCGTATGGCTATTTTTCGGGAGCGGCCAAGAGGGGGGGGTCCAAGAGGGGGGGGTGCAAATTATGACCCGCGGCATGTGCGCGGCCCAGCGGGGGGGCCAGGGACGTGATGAAATAAGAAGAGGCGCCACGAAATCTGAGAAAATATCATGCCCCCCGCCATGATATCCACCCCCCCCCTAGTCATCACCCCCCTCTTTTCCGCCCCCGATATTTTCATTCAATCCTCTCTTCGTACGGAAGAGACCGGTCCTGGGGGAAAGGGGCCACCCCAGGCCTTCGGAGACAAATGTTTCATCCCGAGCGGAGATCTGATGTTGCCAGGAGCCCAGAGAAGACTGTCAACACTTCAGGACCCGTTCACCTTGCCGTCGCTCGGACGTCCATGTCCCGTGCAATTTGTTGGTTTCGTGCGTGTTTTTTTCTGCTCGATGGTCCAGGATGCTCCTCGATGGTTTTCGCCGAGAAGACATGCACACGTCCGAGCGATGCCAAGTCACTCGGCACTGAGATGGATCAATCCCTGCCTCGGAAGGACATCGGCTGGAATCGGGATGTGCGTCGGAGCGGACCGCACCGGCAAAAAAGAGTCGGAACCGAATCGGATCGGCCGCGCCAGGATGCACAGCAGCGCCATGCAACCATCGGGCCGCATCGGATCGTCAGAATATCGCATCGGGATTGGGCCGGACGGCGCAGGCCAGGACCAACGTCGAATCGGATCGATCGGGTCGAAGCGGACCCCTCTGCTTCCCCAGACATCCAACGATGTGATCGTTGTTCAATCCGCGGCTCCAGAGCTCCCGACACATTCACTGGGGCAATGTTCTCGCCCCGGACCCACTGCTGATGGTCCTGGGGTCCGACACGAGGCTCCAGAAGGCCGAAATCGAAGACGCTCAGAGTGACAAACGCATATTGTTAGAGATCGGGCTTCGTTCGCGGCAATGAAGGAGACCCCTCTTTGGGGGAAAGACCTCTCCTGGGTGCGTTCGTCGAATAGGGGATCAGCTGCAGAATTGATTCACTCCGAACTTGACTTTCCCGCCGAGTAAACCAGAAACGCGTAATTTGTCCTGAGCGTTACGGGAAATTACACATATGTGTTTCCCAGATTCGGCAGGGGTAAATCAATTCTGTAGTCGATCCCTTACTCGAATTCTGATCAGAATTTCGAAGATAACCCTGCCGTGGCGACAAGGGCTCTCCAGAACGAGCAGCGGTAGCGGTATCCAGACATGCGATGTCATATTTGTCCCACACGGGGTCCCCAGGAATCCCAACCCTTTCCTTCGGGCCGCTTTGTCATCGTGAGTCATTTTTGACGCTCCCGGGGCCCAGCGAGGGCCCTCAGAGGTCGAAAACGATACAACAAGTCCACCTTGACTTGATCAAGACGGAGGATGTCTGGGCATGTCCTCCTCCGGAGCCAAGCCACTCCTGTGACTGTTCCCTCGTGGCAACCACCAGGAGCCCGGAGTCGCAGAAAAGCACGCCTGGAGCCTTGGACCCTATTTTCTCCTGCTGCATTCTTCGAGCCGGATCGATCTGCCAGGGCCCCGAGCCTGGAAAAACCTGGCCGGAAAATGCCCTTGGCAAAAAAAGATTGCAGCGCCCGGATGCCAGGGTCTCCAGAGATCGAGAGTGGGATCATCGACAGACTTGACTTGACCCAAACTTCATGTCCCCGCCGAATGTAGGAAACAAATACGTAGAATGCCCCTTTTTTGAAACCTCAGAACATTATACGCGTTTCTGGTATGTTCGGCTGGAAAGCAAGTTTGCAGTGAATCAATTGTGCGGTTAATCCCCTGTTCGAAGAGAGAGCAGCGGTACAGGTAGCTTTTCCTCCTCTGACTTGCCTTGGTAGCGTCCACCACAGGAGCCTTCCGGCCCCGTCCAAACGCCCGATCTTGATTTATTTCGACATACGTCCATGCAGATGTGTTTCCCGACCCGCCCCTTCGGGCCAGCTTTTCGTCCTGAGTAGTTCTTTGACGACCCTGGGGCCCGCTGAGGGCCCCCAGAGGCCGAAAAGAACGAACATCCTCCGCCTCGAATTCTGCCGCGGATTTTGGGTTGTCCTCGAACTTTGGGCTGTCCTCCTCCAGATTCGGGCTCCTCACGCGACGTTTCCTTCGTGGCGACGACGAGGAACCTGCCGGCCCCGTCCCACGCCCGCTCCCAGGCGGCCCAGTGCTCGGCGCTCACGGGCTCCAGGCCCTCGTCGTCCTGCGCCGGCACGCTCGGGTCGCGGGGGTCGATGCGCAGGACGTTCTCGCCGCACTCCTCGGGTTAGCTGCTCGTTCCGCTCGAGAGCGCTGGCCACCAGGGCCCCCGCTTGCCGTGTCAGGGCCCCCATGTGCCGTGTCGCACAACAGCGCTGGAGAAACCGTCTTCACACATGACCGAAAACATCATCGAACGCATCATCAATCATCATCACCAGTGCGCCAGACGTTCTCGCCTCACCCCTCAGTCGTTTGAGGGCTTGGTGACTTCTGCTGCCCATCGACTCGCGCTGCAGCGTACCGTTTATAGCGCCAGCCGCGAACATCGCAGCATGTCCGTTTCCAGTGCTCGACCTTCCCGTTTCCAGGGTTGGTGGCAGCTCGGATTTCCAGGGTTGAGACCTCGTCTGCCGTTGAGTCCAGGTCCGAGTGTGAGCGAGTCTGACTGTGAGAGAGTCTGAGTATGAGCGAGTCTGTGTGATTAGTACAACTAAGTGACGAAGAGAGGGAAGGTTCTCCTGAGGAGTCCAAGGCGTCTTAGAAATAACAGAAACAAGTTTAGAGTCTGGGGAGTGAGCTGTTCTCTGAAGTGTTCGTCGGATCTTGGAAAGTGTCCTGCCTCGGGATGCGTTCCATGCAGCTGCGCCTCGCCAAGAGCGTGTCCAGGGTGCCCGACTCGTCCCGAGCGGCCGCCAGATACTCTAGATGTGATCCAAAACCGAACGACCCTTCGCCGTCACCTGAGAAGCGAGCGCTGATTTTTGTTCACGCCCAACGTTTCCGCCCAACTTTGGGCCCCGGGCCCTCACTGATCGGTCTGGCTCGAAAGTTGCAGAAAGATGGGAGTTGTGATTGTGGCGATGTTGCATTTTTTCGCGACGTCGGATCTCAGGGCACATGCCGATACCTACGTTTAGATTCCCAGACATCTCGCGCCTGAAACAGATCGACGCGGCCAGTCTGTCGTCATGTTTGGCACCCCGTACAGATGTCAAAGCTCGGAGCCTTCGCAAAACTACTCGGGGTGAAAAACTGGCACAGGGGAAAGGGTCGAGAGGTCCGGCCACTTTTGACGGCCTTCCAGGCAGCCGTGGAGGAACCTGGCCCAGCCTATCCTGCCGAAGCCAACCTTGCCCAACGAACCCTCCTGGCAGCCTGCCATCGTTAAACATTCGGGAGCGGCCAAGAGGGGGGTGTCCAGGGGGGGTGCAAATCATGACCGGCGGCATGCGCGCGGCCCAGCAAGGGGGCCAGGGACGTAACGAAATAAGAAGAGGCACTATGAAATCTGGGGAAATATGACCCCCGCCATGATATCCCCCCCCCCCCTAGTCCCTAGTCATCACCCCCCTCTTTTCCGCCCCCGAAACATCTGGGAGCTTGCGGTTCCCCCCAGGACTCCGGCAGGCACCAGATGGTGCCGTCCGGGGCCAGCGCGCCGCCCTGGAACTTCTTGGGCTGCAGCGGCAGGTTCCCGAGCAGCGACAGACTGCGCGTGGCCGTGTGGATCACGAGCACCTCCCGAGGCGCGCAGGAGCGGCGCTGGGCACGAGTGACCAGGGGCTTCAGGGCTTCCCGGTGGGCCCTGCAGGGGCCAGCTCCAAGCGCGCAGGCCAGTGCTTTTGTCTCCCGTGAGCCCGCGGCAAGAGTCACTCCGGCGAGAGGCCACTCTCGATTACGCGTGGCCGACACCTGCAGGGATCGGTGGTCGTCGAGTCGTGCGAGGCGGGAGCTTATCCATAACAACCGCCCGGGGAATGGCTCTTCCCAGACATCCGACGTGTTAAATCAAAATTGCACTAGGGAAGAACCCCAATCTATGGATGGTTTGAAAATTTGTGATATAGATATTGAGGTCGATTGTGAGAACGATGGTTAGACCGATAGTGGGATCGATCGTAAGGACTATAGTAAGGTCGATCGTGAGACCGATCGCGAAGCCGATTCAGTGAGATCGATAGTGAGATCGATCGTGAGATCGCTCGTGCGATCTATAACTAGTGGGACCGATTGTGAGATCAATAGAGAAATGGGTAGTGAGATCGATGGTTTGACTGATCGATAAAGAGATCGACCAATAACCCGGCAACCCGGAAACCCAGGAACCCCGACGCCCGCCGAAATCGGTCCAGAACCAGCAGCCGGGATCCCGGGAACCTGGCAACCTGGCCGCGCACCGGAATCGGCCCGGCACTGTCGCCAAATCTTCCAATCTCCGCTGGGACCCCTCAGTGCAAGCACTGCTGAAGGGGCCCTGGGACACACAAATAAATACACACAAATAAAAGGATTCCCTATATTTTCAAATGTTTTTTGGGTTTTTGTCTTCCCGCCCACTTCCCATATTTTCCCATATTTTCCTGGGGGTCGACGATTAACTGTGTCTGTGTGTGTTTTTCCATCCTGAACTGAGTGGGGAACAAAGAGAATCTGTTTCGCCGTTGTCGGCCTCCAGGGGCCAGAGCCGGGCCCAAGGGCCGTCACAAAAGGACTCGGGATGCAACACTGGCGCTTGGGAGAGGGTCGGGACTTGCGAAAAACCCTGTAGAAGGAAAAAACCAAGGCACCGGATGCCTGGGTATCAGCCACTACCGCCTGCGGGATCGATCTTCGGGGACCTCGGCAGACGGTGGATTTGGATATTCTTTCGCCCCCCGAGGGCCCGAATGTGAGTGTATATATATATATATATGTATATGTATATATATATATATATATATATATCCACCGCCTGCCAAGGTCCCCGAAGACCAGTCCCCCCTAGCGGTGGTGATCGACACCTCCCCGCCCGGGAGAGACTTCGTATCACCTCGGGAGCTGCGTCGGATCGGGCTGCCTCGGCACGAGGTCGGAGTCGGACCAGATCGGCCGCGCCAGGGTGCGCAGCAGCGCCGTGCAGGCATCGGGCCGCACCAGATCGCTTCACAGGTCGGCATCGGATCGGACCCAGCTGGCCGGGGCCAACGTCGAACCGGATCGATCGGATCGAAGCGAAGCCCGCCTGCGGCGCGTCGCAAGGAATGCAGTAGATGTCGCCGTCGAAGCCTGAGGGGCACCGTCAGGAGTGGACCAGCTCAGGGGGGGGGGGATATCGAGCTGGAATCCGCGATATCGGAGATACCGCACACGCGCGTTCTTGGGCGGGGTGAGCTATCGTCGGCCCTTTTCGACGATGAACGGGCGATTGGAAGTCGATGCACCCCCCGCTGAGCACATCCCCCTCACGTTACCTCCTGGCTCTCGGACTCTCTGGCGGCCGATCGGGGCGATCCGGGCACCCCTGGAACGCTCTCGGCGAGGCGCAGCTGCCGGCACGCATCCCGCGGCAGGATCACCGCCGAGAACCGACGACAGCGTCCGCAGGCCCCGAACCTCGCTCTCACCCCGCCCCCGCCAACGCTGCCCCGCTATAGCGCCGCCCCCGCGGGCCCAGGACGCCGTTCTGCCACTTGTTGCGCCACGGGGACAGCTCGCCGACCGCGAGGACCTCGTCGGCCGCGGGGTCTATGCGCAGGGCGCAGCGGGCGTCCGAGGGGATGGCCCAGACCGCCCCGGACGAGTCCACCGCGCCGCCGCCCCACTTGTAGAGCCCGTCGTGCTCGCCGCCGACGACAGAGGAACGAAAAGCGGCACAAGAGCGAGGTCGTGCTTAGTATTCCCCCGCCGCGCGCGACGTCGGTTGCGCAGGGGAGGGGGGGGGGGCTCGGGCCTGCAAGCACCAGAGCATGCTTCTGGGCACCTCAGCACGCCTGCCAGCACCACGGTTTGCCTGCGAGCATCGCGCCGTGCCTATGGGGGAACTGGCACCGCCCCGACTACGTTGGGCTACCGTTACGAAAAAAGGCAGGGAGGAGGGAGGGTGCACCCCCCCGTAACGGACGTTACGAAATCACCGGAGGAACAACAAAACATCTCAACATATAACCACAAAACTACCACAAGGAATGCTGGATACGGAACGAAGGGGCTCTGCTGGCCACAGCGAGCCTCGGCCACGAACAGGTTCACCGACCTGGATCTCAGGAACGGCCCGAAAACCGGAGCCCTTTCTGAGCCAGAAGTGGCTCTCATGTCAACGTCTTGACTGTAAACTTTCAGAACAAGCATAAAAAATACAAGACACACTTTTCCGCCATCGGGGACGCATGTCCCCGATGTCGGAACAACTTGTCTGATACCGCTCTGCGTCCGCCAACTTTTGGAGGCCCTTGCAGATTCTTGGACGGTGGCACACTGTGTTACAAACTGTGCAGCTGGTGTGTTTAGTTGTGCTTGTGTCTGTGTTCTGTTCCTCGAGATGAGCTCCACCTTGTCGGCTGCTGGTGTGACCTTGAGCACGCGCCGCGCGTGCGAAGGGATGCCGACAATGTGCTCGCCAGAGCGGGCGCCTCCGTGCCACTTCCAGCCGCCGCGCCCAAAGTCGCCTATCTCGCGCACCTCGCCGGTGGCTGGGTCCACCTTTCGATGATCGTCAGACCCAATCGGCGGTGGACAAAGCTCCCTTTAGTAAGCCTCCCCTTAGTGAAAACGGCCTGGGACCGAAACCGACGGACCTGGACCCGCAAAATGACGGCCGCGACGCCCTCTCGCGAACCGCAAACGGCCAACTCGCTCATCGACGTGTCAGGGTAATTAGGAGGTCGCGATGACGGCCGACACGGGCTGCGAGCTACGGGTGTAGCTGAGCGGTATACCCAAACACACACACACAAACAAACAGGCACGCCACACGTCCCTGGGATCATCGAGCCTTCAGCACGGATGAGGCGTTGAAGGGTATCCCCCAGATGGTGCCGTCGTGAGCCACTATGCCACCGTACCACTTGCTCCGCACTCCCTTCTGCAGCTCTGGGCCGATGAGGCTTACCGCGCCTTGGCATGCAGCAAGCGGGTCCTGAGCGCCGACCCCGCGCAGGAAGCTGGCGAAGGTGCCAGCCGGGGAAGCGTGCCCTCGGCCCCGGGGCTTTCCCCGGGGCCAATGCCCCATCCCGAGCAATGGTTTGACGTCCCCGGGGCCCGTGGCAGGGCCCCGGGAGCCCGAAAGCGGGGAAGAACCTCAGGACCCGCTTCCCTCAGGACTCGTTTGCTTCGCGGAGACGCGCCGCTCTCGGGCTCGATCATCAGCACGCGGTCGGCGTTGGCGGGGATGGCGTAGATGTTGCCGTCTCGCCCGAGCTGGCCGCCGTGCCATTTCCAGTCGCCCCTGGGCAGCACGGCGGCCCCGAGCTCCTGTCCGAGGCCGCGCAGAATAAGAATCGGGCGTACAGCAGGAGCTCGACCACAAGAAACTGTCCACAAGAAACCCAACCCTGAGAACCAAGGACGTGCATTGATGTTGGTGTGGGAGCGTCACGTGTTCAATAGCAAAACCATCGAAACCCGAGAAACCCAGGGCACCCTGCAGGCAAGCAGGGTGGTTCTTGGCATGTGTTTCCACTGTGGTGATCTGTGGGCCTGGCGCGCGAGAGGCCAGTAGCGCCTCATTTGGCGACGGCGAACGCCGAATCTACGCGGAAGCGGGGCTGCCGCTGATCCAGGTGCCTTGTATCTCGTGGATAATGCGCTGTGAGTGCTTCAAATTTTGTAAAACATGTTTCGAACATGTCTACAACATGTTTGACACAGCTGTTATATATATATATAGATATGGCACATAGTTGGCAGCATGCCTCCTCTCCATTGACCTCCACCCACCACCCGAATCCATACCTACGCTTCCTCGGAAGAAGGGCGCAGGGCAAGGAGGGCGGACATCATGTTTCAAACGAATGACAAGACACAGCGACATGCGCGCGGGCATACCTTCTCGATGACGGCGCCTTCTCGCAAGGGCACGCGCGCGGGTGTGGGGTCCCTACGGGGCCCCACGGCTGGCCCAGACCGGTGCGTTCTACCCTCAAAACGCCGACCACGGTATCCCCGATGGGATATCCCAATCGATGGAAACTTCGTAGACCGGCGCCAACATGCACGCAAATACGAAAGCGATGTTCACTAGAATCAGGCAGGTGCTACATTATCGACGGAGTTCTTAGAGGCCTCCTAGATGGAGTCGGAGTAGAGTGGGTCGGAGGATCGCGCTGCATCGGCGATGCATCGCCGATGCATCGGCGATGCATCGGCGACGCACTCGTGGAGAAAATCGGGCTCCGCATCGAGCCGCATCGGCGATGCATCGGCGATGCGGCGCGATCCCCCGACCCCATCTACTCGGACCCCATCCAGGAGGCCGAGAGTTCTGGGCTCTCCCTGGGGCAACTCCTGCGTGCTGCCGTCCGGGAGGATGCGGAGCACGCAGTCCGCGCAGGCGGGTATGCAGAACACCGAGCCGTCGCCGGCGCGGACGCCGCGGAGCCACTTGAACTTCGTGGGCCGCCCGCGCTGCCGGTAGCTGCCCGCGGCGTCCAGCAGGTCCACCTGTTTCGGTGGCTGCCGCAGGACCGGGAGCGGCCAAGAGGGAGGTGTCCAAGAGGGGGGGGTGCAAATCATGGCCGGCGGCATGTGCGCGGCCCAGCGGGGGGGCCAGGGATGTAATGAAATGAGAAGAGGCGCCATGAAATCTTGGGAAATATCATGGCCCCCGCCATGATATCCACCCCCCCCTAGTCATCACCCACCCCCCTCTGTGCCGCCCCCGACAGGAGGCTGGCCCAAGTGGACGCCCGAATCATCCGGGACAGCTCCGCTCCGGGGCAGCTCTGGCTTGGGCCCCTGGGGGCACGAGCCAGGAGTGACCCCTGGCCGCCCCCCGCCGCGATCATTCAGGAATGGTTGGGCGCCCGAGTTCTGCGGGATGACTGTGGCCCGGGGCAACTCCGGTTTGAACCCCTGGAGGCACGAACCATGAGTTACCCCTGACCGCCCGCCCCGATCATTCAGGAGTGGTTGGACGCACGAAGTATATAGTATGTGGGAAAACTCTGGTCCGGCGTAACGCTGGTTTGGGCCCCCGAGGCACGAATCGGGAGCTACCCCTGGCCATTCCAAGCCCTGATCATTCCGCAAAGGTGAGACGACCGAATTATGCGGGATAACTCCGGTCCGGGGCAACTCCAGTTTACACCCCCGAGGCACGACTCGGGAGCTGCCCATGGCCAGCTCCGGTCCCGATCATTCGGGAGTGGTTGGGCGCTCGACTTGTGCGGGACAGCTCTGGTCCGGGGCAGCTCCAATGTGGGCCCACGAGGCACGAATCAGAGGCTACCCTTGGCCATCCCCAGCCCTGATGCGACGACGACAACGACGACGACGACGACGACGACGGCGACGACGACGGCGACGGCGACGACGACGACGACACGACGACGACGACCACGACGCACCTCGCACAGCGACCAGTTCCGGAAACCCATCTTTGGGGGGGCCGCCTCTTCCTCCCGCCGCCTTCCGCCGGCGGGGCCGCCCTCTGTGCCACTTCCGCGGCCTTCTGCCGCCCTCTTCCGCCGAGGGCGAGGCGCCAACTCCCCGGAGCACGCCACGGAGGGGGGGGGGGGGACGCCAGACACACACACACACACACACACACATACCCCAGACGTCCAACGCACTGGGACAGCACGATGCACGGGGCATGAGGTGTTTCGCCGATCCGGGCCTCATCGGGCACTCGCCGGGACCTGGGACCCTCAGTAACGTCTCAGGATCGAACGACGGCCCTGGGGCAAGGGCCAGGCCTTCCAGGGACCCCGTTTTACAAAGAAATCCAAACATCGAATCTCTGCGACTAACGCTCGAGTAGTGGATCGACTACATGATTGATCTACCCCAAAGATTTGTTCCTCGAGCCCATGAGAAATGCGTGGAAGTTTCGCAGATCTACGAAAGATCCATGCATGATCCGACGAGGGTATCCATTCTGGGGTCATTCACTTGTGTAGACGATCCCCCCCTCGAAACGCGCAGCCCAGCCACTCGCTTGTAGGGGCCCACTCGGCCACGTGGTGCACGAGGAGATCCGCCTCTCGTTGGGGCCCCCGTGCCCCTGCGCGGGGCCTGGCGCGGTCTGGACCCGCTTCTTCGGGGCCCGCCTTCGACGGAGGCCCGAGCTAGAGAAGCCACCGCAGGTGCTGAAGCTGGGGGAGGACAAACAACGGCATAGACATAAGCTGTTGGAGGGCCGCGCGGATTTTTCTTGGATCTGGGCCAGGACCCCCTCGAGTCTCTGCCGCGCAGGGCGCACCAGGGGCGGCGCGGGAGGCGCCGCCACGGGGCCCCAGCGGATCCAAGCAGCCCGCGCGGAGCGCCAACACTGTATGCTTATGGCGTGTTTGTCTTCTTCGAGATACCGCTGCGTACTACCTCTCCTGGGGCGCGTTCTGACCAGGATTTCGAGGAGGATCTCCGGCCGCGGAGCTGGGGGAGGGGCAGCGGTGCCGGCCCCTTTTCCTTAATGCGGGATGACGATTAATTAAACAATGAGAGAGAAGGATTAAACAAATAGTTTTCTGCTATTTCTGCAAAAATTTTCTGACTGGAGGAGAACGATTCAAAACATAGTTTTCCAGCCCGCGGCCGGGCGCCGCCGCGTGAACACGACCCCTGGTCATTTGTTAATCGTCATCCTCCATTAGTCCATTAGTCCCCCCCACTTCCCATATTTTCCCATATTTTCCTGGGAATCGACGATTAATTGTGTCTGTGTTTTTTCCCCTCCTGATCCTGGGGCGCGCTCTGACCAGGACTTCGAGGAGGACCTCCCGCCGCGGAGCTGGGGGAGGGGCAGCGGTGCCGGTACCTCCTCCTTGAAGGAGCCCTGGGACACACAAACAAATACACACAAATAACAAGATTCCCCATATTTTGCCATATTTTCTGGGGTTTTGTCTTCCCGCCCAATTCCCATATTTTCTCATATTTTCCTGGGAGTCGACGATTAATTGTGTCTGTGTGTTTTTTCCCCTCCTGATTCCTTAGTCCTCCCCCGAGGCACTCCGCTCCTGGCCAGGCCGGCGGCCGATCCTGGGCCGAGGCTCGGCCGGGCCAGGAGGGGCGCGGGTGCACAGCCGGCGACCCCCGGCCAGCTCCCGGCTCGTCGCGCCGCTGTTCTGAGACCTCTGGGGGCCCTCGGGGCCTCGCGAGGGGTGCTCCGGGCCTCGGAGGGGGTTATAGCGAACACTCCTACTGCAGTCTCATCTGCCAATGCCACCCCCAAGGATGGGTGGGGTGACTGAGTTGGGACTTCGGCCGCAGTCCTCCCCGCACGGAACAACTTTTTGGACGCCCGAAATGGGTACGGAAAAAATGGGTACAATGCCCAACAGCAAATGTTGTCCCGAACCAAGAGCGGCCGCTGTTGGGCAGGCGGCCTTCTGTCTCAAATGAACGCAGGCCGCGGCGGCGCGGACAGCGAGTCCTGTTTAAAATGAACAGGAATTGCTGTTGGGCATTGTACCCATTCTTTCCGTGCCCATGTCGGGCGTCCAGAAACGTCGCATCTGAGCGACAAGGGGAATGTCCCCAAACTGCTCCCCTCTGCCGTCTGGAGGCCTCGCGGGCCTCCCTGGGGCGGGTCGCCCTCTGGGGCGGGTGCGCCAGAGGTGGGGCGAGAGGCAACGTGCGCGGACGAGGGGGATGGGGCCCAGGGGGGCGCATCGAAAGGAGAATGGAGGAGGAGGAGGAGGAGGAGGAGGAGGAGGAGGAGGAGGAGGAGGAGGAGGATGGGTGGGAGGAGGATGGGTGGGAGGAGGAGGAGGAGGGGGAGGAGGAGGAGAGGGAGGAGGAGGAGAGGGAGGAGGAGGAGAGGGAGGAGGAGGAGGAGGAGGAGGAGGCCCCCCCCCCGGGCTGGGCCAAGGCCGGCAACGCCCGAACCTCGCCGGTGGCGAGCCGGAGGCGCACCACGCTGTCCGAGTTGGAGGGCACCCCCAGCAGCGTGCTGCCGTCCTTGCACCGCCAGAGATGATGACCCCAAAGCACACACCCCCACACTCCACGGCGGCACCCGCGGGAATCCTTGGCAGGGGGGATGCCGGGACCAGAGGTGAGGGCAAGATTGCAGCAGCGGCCTTCCAGGCTGGCGCTCGAGCGTGGGCCGCTCCCGAAAATCTCGCCCCCCCAGTCGCGGCACCCACTCGACAAGTCTGCCTCACCCCCGTGGTCCCCATCCCTGGGTTGCGAGAGAATCCGATTGCCCTCTCCGACGTCGCAGCATTGTCGCAGCATGACGATGAAAGCAGGACACATCTGGGTGCAGGCACATCGGGAGACTCTGCGAGCTGCAGGCTCTGCCAGAGAATGCATCGGGCGACGCGGCCGTTCCCGAGCGCTCTGGAACTCTCTGAGAGTTCGAGAGCGATCTGGAGCAATGTATTGTCACCCTTGGCCTGTCTGGAGCGTTACACCCAAAGGGCTCGACCTTTTCCTCCTTGGATCCACTTTCCACCCCGAGTCGTTTCTCTGCCGGTCCTGGGGCCTGGTAAGGGCCCCCAGAAGCCTAACATGGCCAGCACTCGAGTAGAAGATCGAATACAGAATTGATTTACCCCGAACTTGATTTGTCCGTCGAGTCTACATAAAAAATGGATGGTCGAGGATATACAAAGCATTCTCCGTATTGTTTTGAAGATTCGACCACAAAACCAATGTAGGGGTAAAACGATTATGTAGTCGATCTCCTACTCGAAGCGTGGGAAACGAATGCAAAGCATGTCCCAAACGCTCGAGCGCAGCGTCGCTCAGGACAGGGCGGCGAGGGCAGGGACAAAGAAAGCCAGCGCCGCAACAGGTGGCATGCATAAGCCCTGCGGCACAGACCCCAGGAAGCCTGGACATGCTCCCCAAGACCAGCTTTCTGCTCTGAGTTGCTCTCTTGCCGGCCCCAGGGCCAAGCGAAGGGCCCCCTGGAGGCCGAACATGGACAGAGACCCTTCGCAGATTCTCTTGGCGAGACGAAAGAAGCCTCCCACACGGGTTCCGAGGATGCGGGGACAGCAGGCGACCACAACCACATCTCGGACACACCCTGGGGGGTGCCTTGCGCATGCCAAGATTGTCAGCACACCGAATCGCGCTTCGTACTGGCTGTAGTCAATGTAGCGTCCAAGGACGGCCAACTCGACCACAGCCACAACCAAAGTGCTTGTTTCGAGGTCGGTGGGTTCTCCCCCGAGGGACCCTCCCGAAAAATCCACTTAGCTGTGGTTGTGGTTAGTTAACTGTTGTGCCCGGAGATGAAGTGCAGGTTGGAAGATCGCGCCGCGTCGCAGATGCATCGCCGATGCGTCGGCGATGCGTCGGCGACGTCGGCGTGGAGAAAACACGGGCTCCACATCGAGCCACAGCGGCGAGGCGGCGCGGTCCGCCGACCCCCGCCACGCGCTGGGAGGCCTCCGAAAAAAGGAGGTCTGGCGCAGGCGCGCCGCTGCGCCGACCGCGCGACGGTCGGACTCTTCCCAGAGGTACCGCGGCCCGAGGGGGGGGGAGGGGGGAGGGGAGGACTTGTGGGGTGAGGGGGCGAGGAGGGGGGAAGAGGAAGAGGAAAGAGGAGGATCGAGGAGGAGGAGGGGGAGGAGGAAGGAGGAGGGCGCGAGGAGGAGGAGGAGGAGGAGGAGGAGGAGGAGGAGGAGGAGGAGGAGGAGAGCCGCAGCAGCAGCAGCAGCAGCAGGAGGAGGCACGAGGAGGACGGGGTGGCCAGGCCCCCCTCCCGTGCCTCGCCCCCCCCCCCCCGCCGGGTCCTCGGTCACGGCCCCGCCCAGCCACTTGTGCGGGCCCACGAGCCTCGGGGCGCGAGGGGAGCGGGCTCGGAGGGGGAGAGCCGGGCCCTGGGCCCGGGCGCCCTCCCTGGGGAGCGGCCCTGCCTCCCACGGTTGCCTGTGGATGCCACGACAACGGACACCCTAACAGTCCTACCATCTAACTCAACATGTGTTTAAGATGTCGGAAACATGTCCCACACATGTTTCAAACATGTGTTTTCACATGTTGAAAAAAGTTTTAAACTTGTTCAACACATGTTTTAGACATCTGGGAATTATTTGGCAGCATGCTTCCTCTCCGCTTATCGCCCTCCACAACACGTTGCGATCTGACGGCCCTCCCACTGGGGGGGAGGGCCCTGGGAGCAGGGAGGCGCGAGAAGCAGCAGCAGGACACGAGAACCCGTCGCTCGCCTCGGGGCCTCACTCTGGAGGACTGCCACCCGCTGTCTGACAGAACGGAAGGCTGCATCGACAGAACCCTTCCAGGGGTCCGCGCAGATTTTTTGGCGTCGGGGCTGGGCCCCGTAGCCCCCTGGCGCGCAGAGCGGAGCCCCGGGGGGGGTCTCAGGAGCGCCGACCGGCGGGGTGCAGCGCCGACCCAAGGTATCCACACGGGCCTCCGAAAGCGTATGCCTGCGCCGGTGTCGTATTCTAGCTGATACTGAATATGATCATTCCGATTCCTCTCATTATGTTTGCTTTTATTAATAGCCTTGTTCCTATTATTACGAATATTTGTTCCACCGCTCCGAAGCATCTCACATGGGGCCAGACCTGGTGGGGTCGGAAAATCGCGCCGCGCCGCCGGTGCATCGTCGATGCGACGACGATGGCAGGGTGGAGAAAGACGAGCTCCAGATCAAGCCGCATCGCCGATGCATCGGCGATGCGGCGCCATCCTCCGACCCATCGACGGGGCAGCGCCACGGGGGGGTCACCACTACGGGGTTCGCCACCTTCTGGAAACGAATCCCCCTAGACCCCGCAGAACCCCAGAGGACCCCCAGAGACGCCAACAAGCGTGCCTCAACCTCCTCGGTCCTCGAGCCCCCCTCCAGCTCGACCCTCGACTTCCACGAGGAGGCGGTGACTCCCTTGGTGACCCCCCTTGGCCCGACCCTGCTCCAGCCCCATTCCCTGAGATCCAAAGGTGCAAACAGAATTGAAGCACCGTCGGAAGTTGCCACCAAATTCCTAGACCCCATCTCTGTGCGGCATATGTCCCGTGCCGGATCGAGCTGCGAGAGCCCAGGCTGCCGAAAGAGCTGCAATAAAATTCGCGATAGCGCCCGTTGCTGACCCTCAATCCCTCCCCGCCGTGCCCTCCCTCTCGCCCCCGTGGTCACGCCACGATTCGCGCGTTGGAATAAGCCCTTACTGTTGAGCATTTCCAGGCGGTGCTAGCGCGGATCGTGACGCGACCGGCCCCAGTCCCCTCATCCACACCGCGGTCACGCCCGCCATCGCTGGGGGATGAAAAAGCGATCTCCGACTGGGCGGAAGCGCCCGTTGTGAGAAGACGCCGCAAAACGCCCAGACCTCGGGGGATCGGGCAGGCCTGCAGCTCATGGCGGTCCCTTCGGGGAATGGCCAGCGACCACGACCACATCGAGGGCACGCCCTCGGGGATGTCTCGCGCATGCGAGCAATCGTCAGAACACAGAGACCAGCTTACGGTGGGGGCATTGGACAAGGAAGGGCTTAGTTGGAGCGTCCAAGACGGCCCAAGACGGCTCCAGATAGGCCAAGATGCCTCAAGATGGCTCCCAAGATGCTACAAGAGGCCCCAAGATGCTCTAGTGGCCAAGGAGCTCCTCAAGGAGGCCCCGAAGAGGCCAAAATCCTTCCAAAACCTAAGGACAAACAATGATTTTTGTTTTCTCGCCTTTTCGCTTCCGATGGCCATCCGATGCCTCAAGATGGCTCCAAGATGGCCCAAGAGAGCCCCAAGAGCGCCCAAGAGTGCTCCAAGAGCGCCCCAAGATATTCCCAACAGGCGATGTTTGGGCTCCCGAGGGGGCAGGCTAATTGAAGCCTCCATCTTGTTTGATCGATGTCCTCCAAGATGGCCCCAAGAGCACTCCAGAGGCTCCCAAGAGCGTCACAAGAGGGCCCTAAGAGGCGCCCAGGAGGCCCCAAGAAGCGCCCAAGAGGCCTCCAAGAGGCTCCCCAGAGACCCACAGGAGGCCCCAAGACGCTCCAAGAGACCTCCAAAAACCTGCCAAGAGACATCCGAGGAAACTCTGAGAGGCAGCTCGCCTGGCCATCGTTTCTGGATGGACGGGGGGGGATACACGAAGCAATAATTAAGGAATCCTTCCGGGTCTGCAACCTCCTGGGCACATTTCTAAACGAACGCCCCTGACGCAGTAGTGGTTGCGATCGATGTGGGCCTCCAGGACGGCCACATCGTCCACGACCACAACCAAAGTGTTCATTTCGAGGTCGATACGTGCTTCCTCAGGGCCCCCTCCAGACATGCGACGCCCCGATTCTTTCATTTCGGGGCCCCTGGCAATCCCGACCCTTTCCCTGGGACCGGCTTTACATCCTGAATTATTTTCTGATGCTCCCGAGGCCCAGCGAGGGCCCCCCCGAGGCCGGAAATGGCCAAACATCTCGCGTCTAGATTTGTTTGGTTCTACAACGCGACCATGCCTGGGAAAACGTTCGCGTCGAGGTCGGTGGGCTCTCCCCCGAGGGGCCCTCCCGAAAAATCCACTTAGCTGTGGCTGTGGTTTTATCTGTTGTGCCTCGGAAGATCGCGCCGCGTCGCAGATGCATCGCCGATGCGTCGGCGATGCGTCGGCGACGTCGGCGTGGAGAAAACACGGGCTCCACATCGAGCCACAGCGGCGAGGCGGCGCGGTCCGCCGACCCCCGCCGCGCGCTGGGAGGCCTCCGACAAAAAGAAGGTCTGGCGCAGGCGCGCCGCTGCGTCGACCGCGCGACGGTCGGCCTCTCCTGAGAGGTGCCGCGGGCCAGAGGAAGGGAAGGGTTGAGGGGAGGACTTGTGGGGGGAGGGCCCAGGGAGGGGAGGGGGGAAGAGAAACAGGAAGAGGAGGAGGAGAAGGAGGAGGAGGAAAAGGAGGAGGAGGAGGAGAAGTAACCAGAAGAAACCATGAAGGGACGACCGCCCGAAACAAACAAAACGAATTGATCAGGGGCGGAAGAGGAGGAGAAACAGGAGGAGACACAGGAGGATAAACAGGAGGAGGAGGAGGAGGAGGAGGAGGAGGAGGAGGAGGAGGAGGAGCAGCAGAGGCGAGGCGGCGCGCTTCTGGCCGTGGCTTCTTTGCCGTGCCCGGAAGCCTCGGACCCCACATCGCCGCCCGCGCGCGGCGTGGCGGGGCGGCCAT